GGGTTGAGAGTTTAGCTAATGGTAGCCACTGTTCCAGAGCACGTAGCACATTCTGTGAATCTTAAATCGATTCATGGTGTTTCCACTAGATGACGCTCGTTTTTTACCGTCGCTTTGGCGGATAGGAGGAAATGCATGCACATTTCAGTAAAAAGCAACGTCTGGATTTATTAGCAATTGTAACTTTACCTATGTTTGTCGATATCGCACATTTAAGAGAATATTCTCTCGTTGCTTAGGAAGCTATTTAACATTTACCTGTTTCGTACGCTGTACAAAACGAGAGTTAATGAGTGTGGCAATGTGTCATATTCGTAATATAACGTTCTTGAGTGTAACAAGGTCAGACTATCGGCCTTGTTTTTTTTAAAAAGATTTTTTTTAAGAGGTATGTTATTCTCGTAATAGGTAGTGGAGAGAAACCTCATCTTTTAATGGAGATTTTCTGTCATGATTAGACCTAGGGTGTTTATAATGAGGCACACAACATGTTGAATATTGTAACACAACGAGGTTCAGGTGGGCGCCCTTGCCGCATTAGGTCTGCCCCGCTCCGCCGGGGGCTCGAACCCGGGACTCCCGCATCACTCAACATGGACCCAGCCCGGTGAGCTAAAAAGAGATCTCTCCAAAGCCCAGGGGCTGTAGTCCTGCTATCACAGGGAAGGGCGGAGACGTCACCGCTCTGGTAAGCCGGCTCTTACACAGTACCTGTCGGCCGTAAGTGTTATAATATGATGATGATATATTATTTCCTCTTTCTTTATATATAAACACAATCTGTACACCGAGAGCCCTTGTGACTATATTAAAAATATCTGATTGATAATCTGACAGTGTGAACATCCTTCTATAAGAAAAGCCCAGCTTCTTCTTGATCTTTATTCCAGTTGAATGCAGCTCCTGACACCCAGAGAGCCCCAGTGCAGAAGGCTTACTAAATCACCATGAGATCACCAGTTTCTTAAGAACTGAAGCAATTCCATTATGATCAATTAACAGGTGATTTGTTCAATTAAGTAATTTACCAATCACATAGGACTAAAATCAAAATACTCTTCAGTGAACTGATGACTTGCTGGGTTGGTCAAGATCTTACAGGGCCTGTCAGACTAACTGTATAGTTTATGATGGCTCTTCAATGGGCCTTTAAAATAGAAGACTGGGGCAACTTCTTTCTTATTTTCTGTTGTTTTTTTCCCTAAAAACCCATCGTCCCCTGTGCCACAATGGCAGCACTCTGCATAACCCCAACTCCAAAAACAATCACAACAGCAGCCACCACGCCGTGCTTCTCCCAGCATGGACAATAGAAAATACACAACAGAAATCCAGCTGAAAACAGTTCGTCTGGAGTTCAAAGAGCTGGATGACACAGTTCTGTGTTTAAAAACTACTTGTTGTGAACAGGAGCACTTTGAACAGGAGCAGTTTATTTTAATTCATTTTAATTATTTGCTGAACTCGCGGCTGTGTTGTTTCCAGCTTTATAATGTTTATTTTTAAGTCTAGCAGCCAGAAGATGGTACTTTAGTTTCCTCATAGAGCTACCAGATATGGGTACTCTGTCAGTATAATAATTAGGACAGTTTGTAGCTTGTTAAGATAAGAGTCATGTTATTCCCAAGTCCTGTGTGTAGTTACAGATTGCAAATACAATAAAGTGTCGCAAAAAGGCACATTGCACTGATATTCTGTCTTAAAATGGGCGTTAAAACTGTGAAACATTAAACATATTTTGAAAAAAATTTAAAGTTTTAAAAATGAGGAGACTGTATATGTGCATTTAAAACTGAGAACAGTAGGCACTTCTTTACACAAAGGTTTGTGGGAGAGTGGGCCAGGCTCCTGTCATTGTGTTATGTTGGGAGTGTTTCCCAATGGAACAATAAAGTTGAATTGAATTGATGTCTTCCAAGAAAAGACTGGATGACATCCCTGAGTCACTCAGTACCACGCAGGCCAGAAGACCAAATGGTCTCCTCTCATTTTTTACCTTTCTTATCACTCATCAGCTCAGGTTCTCATCCTTTGTTCCATTCTGTCAGGGGTCAGTAAGGAGATGAAATGGAGGGACTGTGGAACAGGAGGGAAAAAGAGCTCTTAGTTAGCGTTTGCCTGGGCCAACACAGGACCTCAGACCAGGCCAGACTTCATTATTCCAGCGCCTCTTCTGTTCAAATGCCTTTTGAATTATTCACAGTGCTCCTTTTTCCAGCTGTATTTCTGTGCTGGGAGTGGCATGAATATGAACAAAACATTAATGTGGCCCCTTTCACAGCCCTGGGGGAGGAGCTATTTGCAGGAAGTTAAATTACACCTTTTTAGAAGAGTGGGGAGGGGTGATTGTTGGATTGAAACCCAGTTTTTCCAAACCCCCCATGCCAACCAGCTGTGAATGAAAAGGACGATGTTCTGCCCTGCCTGTATGGCCCGGCACAGAAAGATAGAGAACAGACCTGCTTTACATCTGTTGATTTCTACCTTTGGAAAATTTGCAAACACTCTGCAAATCAAACCTGTCTGCAAACAGTATGGCAACCTTTGCAAAACGTAGGGCATAAGTTGCGACCATGCCAAAGTGCTTTTAAAGTTGAAATACGGGAGACACCAATTTACACAAAGGGTTGTGGGGGTCTGAAACAAGCTATTCAGCTGTGATGCTGAGGACGGTTCTCTAGATTTTTCAAGAAACGGATGAGATACTCAGATCAAGCAAACTGCCACCCTGACAAGAAGCGAAAACTGTTTCAGAGGAAGTGGGAGGCTCCTGTGAATTCAGATTCTCCTCCCAGCCAGAGCCTGGAGAGTCTCAGCCTCCCTCCTGTCATCTCTTCCCTCCTGAGGGCTAAGAGCCATGGACACAGCCACATGGTTCCTAGCCTTCATGCAGTTCAGAAACAACGAGGGAGGGATTGCTTTTTCTTTCTGCTCAGACTCTTCTCTTTAATAAAGGCTATAATTATCTGAGCTTCCTGGGAGATCCTATAATTAAAAAGCTAAATCTTTTCTCAAAGAAAGGGAAAGTGGGGCATGTTAACCTCTTGTTCATCTGTGTTTCTTCTGGCTGCTCTGGTTTCCTCCCACAGTCTACAGACATGCTGTAAAGTTATATCATTAATAAATTTCACTAGGAATAACAGCGCTCAGGGGTTAAGCATACTGACAGGTGTCTGGAGTGTTGGAGCTGCCCAGCTGAGGGCCGGTCCCCTGGCCACAGGACCGCAGGCTGTGCCCCTCCCCCCAGCGGAGTGAGCAGTGACGAGGGGCAGGAGCAGGAGACAAACCAAGCGAACACTTCAAGCCCTATGTCTTTAAATTTCAATTCCCTTTTCTTAAATCCTATCAGAAAAACAAGTCTGATGAGCAATAGAAAATTAAGATCAGCAGGCTCAGAGCATCACATTGTCACTGGATCTCACTGGCCTCACTTCATTGCAGCAAATGCTGTTTCCTGAGCAACAGGGCTGGCTGCTCCAGGGAGAAAGCAGGGCTGTCTCTGAGGATCCCAGCTGTGAGCAAATGGAAGTTAGTACAGTGCCTCCTAGTAACCTGAGCCAAGAACAGCTCTAATACTGTGAAGGTGAAGAATAGGAGATAAGGATGGCATGGCACAGGCAGGAGGGTGTTGTTAAACTGTTGATGCTACAATCAGGCTTGTGAAATGACTAAAAATAGCAGTCATGCACATGCTCAGAAATGTTGGCTTCTGCTGTGTTCTGTCCTTGACGTGACCCAATCCCATTAGCATTGTTGTCAGAGCAAAGGCAAAGACAGACACTAGGATACCTTTCTTTCTCCAATCTCTGTCTTCAGTGAGATCACACTGTCTTTTCCTTTTGTGAACCTTTTTACATAAAGGGTGGTGGTAGTGTGGAACAAGCTGCTCAGCCATGTTGTTGAAGCTGATGACCTGGATTTGTTAAGTAAACACCTGGATGAGGTTCTTGCATCAACTACCAAATGGGCTACATGGGCCTATGGCCTTTCTTATGTTATCAGACACTGCTGTTGTGCTCTTGAGCAAATACATTTCAGCTTTATTATTGTGTGCAAATGAAAACTGCTTTGGATTTCAATGTCAGACACATACATTAGCAGGTTAGTTAAATCAGATCAAACTAAATGCTCTCTACAAACGTAGGGATCTACAGAAGGCTAACAGCATTGACAGTAGTGTCACATCCCCTCCACCCCAGAGAACACACACAGAAAGTGATTGGGAAATTGTTTATTCATTCTGCACCCCATTGCTTTAAATTATTATTAAATTATGTAATGTTTCTGAAATTTTGCTTGTCCTGACCTCTGGATGATTGATGGTTGTTCTAATATGTCAGACTGTGCTGCAAAGTCGATTTCCTAATAATAATAATAATAAATCCCCTCCGTGTAGCCATCCCTTTACAAGCTGCCTGAAGGAATGAAGGACAGTATGAGATCTATTGCTTCAGACAGGCTGAAGAATCTACTTAATTAGGTCAAACATCCCAGTCACACCTCCAAGCCTGGAAAAGTAATCATTCTCAATTGAAAGCTTGTGAGACAGTGTTCCAATCGGAAATGTATCAGTGATAAATCGCTGAAATATCTGTTTCTTAGCGCACAGTCTTATCGGACAGTGCTTTGACATGATGTAGGATCAATCTCACTATAAAGAAGACCTTCTTGCATGATTTGTTTAACACGTCACCAGTCTCTTCAGCCCTCTGGGTCTTGAGCAAGGAATGGGCCAAACATGTTCCAGGAATCGGGCTTCTCCGTGGGCGGTTTTCCAACCTCCCTCCATCCTGCAGGACCCGGCCGGACTGCAGTTCTCTTGAGGACGTGATCAAAGTCACAGGGGACAGGGCGAGATCTCCGGCCCCGGGTCCCGGTCAACCTTCACCGCTTCTGCCTGCTCGAACTCAACTGAACAGGAATTCTGACTGTTTCCCCTTAAGCTGCCTGTTTGCACTGTCAACAACGCTGAGCAGGGGGTTGTTTGGGCTAGAAACAGTCATTTCAATGTGCTGTGTGAGTGGGGTGTTTAACCAAAGAGCACCTACTTGACTCAACCTGTTTTGTCTGCAAATAAAGGGGAGGAGGTTTATATCTGCTGAAAATAAGTCCTTGATCAAGTTCTTAACTCGTCTCCAAGTGCCTACCAGACCACCCCAGACTGCAAAGCTGTGAGCTCCCGCTGTTCAGGTGAGTTCCTTCTGAGAATCTTTCTTGGGCCACATAACTGCCGAGCTTCTCTGAGCTTCTGTCAGCACCGCCAAAAACAGAACTTTCTCCTTCAACTGGAGAAATCTGCCAGGAGCTCAGATCACTCTGGGGTCTGCTCACTGGGGCTTCATCTCAAACAGGGGGTAAACTTCAGTTTGTGCAGTTTCATGGATTTAGGAAACGCATTTAAACACAAAGAGCTACTAAATACTAATTTATATGACTGATGCTTTAATCTAAATCGACTTTTATTTGTTTATTTTTTTAACTGGTGCAATTCAGGATACAACTGCAGTGTCTCAACTGGGATTTGAGCACACAACTTTGTATTAATTTAATTTGATGGTTTTTCAAGTTAATCTTCAGGCTTAGGCAAAATGCATGAACTAAACGATCTGAATGACCGCTTCCTGCTGTACAATGCGTTTCCATCTATAAATTAATAAATTGCTTTCGGTCTCACCTGTAAAGACAGCTGTTGCCCTTTTTAGGTTTTAGGTGAAATGCATCTTAACAAACCGTTATCATTTTTTTATTTTAAAAACTCTTGAAGATTTCCTTTTTAAGATTTGGCCTGTACTATTAAGGATAAGGACGAATCTGCGAATTCCTTTCTTTCTCGGGATTTCGACTGTCCCGAGCTCCTCTCGGCCAGCCGACGTGAAGCGCGCCTCGCGGTTACCCTTATTGAATTGTCGAGCGCTTCATTCACTTGACAGGAAACGGAGCACATAAACAAAGAACGAGATTCCACGGGAAAACATTAGTTCCTGTAGGGTGTAACTTTCTTGGTTTCGAACAGCTGTTCAAATCTACCGTTTACAGCGATTGTTGCTTAGGTGTGGGTGAGATAGAAAAAACAACGGTCCTTTCTCCTACGGCTCCGCGTCAGCGCGCCGTGAAGGGAACCACAGCACGATATCGATCGTTAATCTGCCTTCAGCAGACCCCCGAGTCCGAGCGCCTCGGTCCTGCACGTCCGTCCGTCTTTGATGTCCGCTGCTGTGATCTCGCTGCGAATCTTCCTTTCTGTCACAAGAAGAAAGAAAGTCGGTCACAGCTGGAAAGAACGAGCGTTTTTTTTTATTTATTTTCCGGTCCATGTGAAAATGAGGGAAAATGACGGCTTCAACACAGCACCGCTTCACGTGTCTAGAGACTGAGATCCGGCACAATAGAGACTCGGGCTGACGGAACCATCCAGTCGTGTACTTTATCGCGACTGGCTGTATAATTAACTACTGATTTAAAAATAGTTATCTGTATACTGTCTGAAGGGCTAACTTGTGCACTGATCAAAGCCAATGCACACTACTTGATCAGGAAATGTATTGATTAATAGACCGATTGACTCTGAGCCTGTAGAATGGTTTCCAGTCAGCGAGTCTTTGCGCACCTGTTTGTAAATTCACCAGCAATTCTGTTTCTGCCTTTCGGAGCAGGCACTGCTGAAGCTACAGTAGCTTAAACTGAGCTGAATGAAGACAAAACCACATCTTTAAGCCTGACAGAAAATAACAGGTGTTTTTCAAACCTGTTGTGCTGAAGCAATACGTTAGATTGTCCTGGAAATGGGGTGGGCATGCAGCTGAAACAGGCACACAACCCTCTGACCACTTCAGTTCCTGGACTCGCTGGGGAGTCTGTATGGCACTAATGCATGCTTTCTGCTCTACGTAAAAATAAAACACAGGTTTGCTATTTGTTTATCCATGCATCTGTTTTTGCATGTATGTTTTTTTATCTGGATTGCTATAGAATCTTCAATGTTTATACAAATGGGTGAAAGTGACATTACAGAAGAACAATTATCCCCTCACGGAGGGCAGCAGAGTTTGACATTTTGGCTTCCCGCATATCATATCAATTCTATCCGTAAATAAATACACCCAGCCTGGAGGACAGGCCTGTGTTTTCAAAACACCAGAGCCCGCTTAAAAGCGAGCTCACGGGAGGCACAGGAGAACTCCCAAGGTCACGTGACACTGCGGAAGGTCAGGCCTCTTCTCCCCCTCCGCTCGCGCTGATGGAGTGTTTACTGACAACACCCCACTTCCCCCAAACTGGCTTGGTCAGCATCTGACGGGGCACCCCGGGAAAAATTTGAAGTGACTGGTAAAAAGGGGGATAGGTGGAGCACAGAAATCAAACATGAACCAAAAACACAAGTGGAAACTACTGGGATGTGCATTTAAAATCAACAACAGGAGGTGCTGCTTTACACTAAGGGTGGTGGTTGTGTGGAACAAGCTGCCCAGCCATGAGTTTAAAACTGGAACCTTGATATCTCTCAAGAAATGACTGGCTAAGATCCCCAGATCAATTCACTATTAGCTAGTGTGCTGTATAATAGCTACCTCCCACTTGTAACCATTGTTATGTTCTCATAAAGAGTGTGCACACAGGACAGGGCACCTAGTCCTGGTTTGATGACCTCTCAGATAGTTGGGTAAATCAGGTGTTTGCCAGATTACAGGACCAAGCTTGAGAAAATGGTCTATGAGACTTCAGTTCTGACTATAATGTTCTGAAAAATCTCCAGAGACCTTTGCTGCATCTGCTTGTACAGTCTATGCAGAGAGTTTTAGGTTAAAAGCCACAGTGACTGATTGACTGCATTGTGACAAATGCTCTAACCCAAAGGAAGCTCAGTCAATTTCAATTAGAACAGATTTAACAATTTGTCAATGAACTACTACTACAAAAGTTCCCTCATTCAGCTGTCAAATTTCCTAGAAACCCTTGGGTTCGGTGCTCTCAGGTGATGATCAGTGGTTTGTGTTGTCAGCATTCAGTCAGTTCCAATGAGAAAACAAAGAGCTGTGCAGTTTGCTGTTCTGCAGATGTTTATACTCATTGTTATATGTGAAAACTAAAAAGTGGCTAAGACATTTTTTTAATTTCTTTTCTTCACTGCATCTTTTCTAATATTTTCCCCATTTTTATCCTCCAGTCCAGCCCTGCTGAAGATGGCACCATCCAGCGCTCTGTTCCTTTTGACAGGTAACACCAGCTTCATCAGTCTTTCTCACTTCCTTACTGTCTCAGATGGGAGTTTGCATCGCAGGCAGGTTCAAGTCATAACATGATACCCAATCCATTCAACACAGCATGAACCTGTTGCACCTGCAGATTTTTACAGAAACATATGAGTGCCAAAAAGAAAAAAAACATTTTGTTTAATTGAGATAGTATTGCATTTATACTAAAACAGTATCGTGTTTAAACAATAAAATTATTGTTTAAATGCAATAGTTAATTTGTGAACAGTGTTGCCTACTATATTAATATCTTTCATTATATATGCAATAATATTGTCCCATACAAAATAGAATTGACTTTAACAACAGAATAATATTGTCACACTGCTCTTTTTGGAAAGAAAATAATCTAAAGGAGCACATGTTCTGTCTTTTGTATACATGAAGTAGAGCACAGTGTCAGTGAGCATTACTGGGTTAAACGTGTGTGTTTGTCACCGTCTCTGTGACAGGTACTTGAACTTGAACTTTATTGCCGTATGTAACCGGTACGTGTACTGGTACAATGGGATTCTTACTGACAGAAAGTCACTCGATTGTTAAAACAAGTGTAAAAACACAAAGTGCAGACAGTGCATCAAGACAATATACAAACAAACAGCAGACAATGTACAAGTGAACAGTTTGAATGTAAACAATGCAGACATGTAAACAATGACTGCAGATGTGTAATAAATAAAATTACAATGAGGTAGATGGCGTAGGTGTGGTCTAGCTTTCTAAACACATGTTATTCTTGATGTGAAACTGCAGCAATATGTACTTTGCAGGGGTATTTGCCGACTCTTTGAACATTGAACAGAATACATTTACGATGACTTGACAGTCAGACAGTCACAGTTAGTGAGGTAGGGGCTTTCATTCTCTGCTGTACCCTAAATGACAAAACCACTGTCCAGCTCTCTGCTCATACAATATCTGCAGGTCCTGCATATCCTGCTGCTGCTCAGCCTCAAACAAGTCATCTCCCTGCCTTACAAGTTGTACAGGCCTGGATACCTGTGTCCTGTCTTCAGAGACTGACTTCAGATCTTTTGTTATGTCTTCCAGTTTTGGCAGCATTCTTCACAGAAACATCAGCAAGTAAGAGATACTGTGATTGTTTGTGTGCACCATGCTACACTCGTACCTATATTAAAAAATCAAAGGCTCTTTTGTTACTGCTCTTGCTTTCTCTAACTAGAGGAGTCCTCCTGGGCTGTAAATAACTTTGAATCTGTGGGGTACTCATGCCTATAGTCTGAGCTGAATGCAGGAATTCAGTGTATGATCATGTCTGTATGTGCATGTGACTCTCATTTTAAGTCTTATACGCATTTCAGAAGTCATGTGCTGTAGGGGTGTTGATGGTATTGTGTGGTCATGGTGAAGCATATTGAAGACAGTGCTGTGTTTCTTTATGCTAATTGTATACTCTATTTTTCCCTCTCTTTTCCAAACAGATACGTTCTATTATGGTAAGTAGAATACATAATTATACATAACAATACAAATGAGAATTACTCCCAAAATGCTCTGCACTGCACTTCGGGGCTGAAGCAGAGTTTTAAAAGGTGCTGCATTATCTTGCAGCACTTAGTTTTGTGAACTTTTTTAATCGTTCATTTTGTTTGTTGTGAACTTATCTGCCATTTTTTAAACATATTGTTTTCCAAGGGCTTTTGCTCTGGTGGCTGCAATGAGCTGTTTCTAGTTATCTAACTAACTAGTTAACTGAGATCAGAATAAGAGAATGCATTCCCACCCCAGGTCGCAATGAAGGGGAAAGGGGAAGTAGGGAGTGATGTTACCTTTCAGAACAGGTTTTGTGTCAGATAAGCCCTGTATTTTAATAATACCCTGTGATCTTTTTCTCTCGTTGTTACCATATTTCACAACCAAAAGACAATGGAACAACGTGATTATTGTTTTTGAGAATGAACACGTGTTCAGTGTGAAGTAAACGAATAAGATATTAGAGATTCAAAATAAACTGAAACTGAACCCTTTGCCAAAGGGTTTGAGAAGCGATGTTTCTGTCGTCAGATTCTGTGTTGGTACTGACCTGTTACATTGGCCGACAGAGTTGGACTAATCTTGACCTGGTGCTCACAGATTGTCTGAGTTTCAAATTGTAGAAAATGGCTGCTGCAGCCAACGTAAGGTTTGTTTCTTTTTCTGAAAAGAAATTGGAGATTTATCCTCTGATTGTGTCCTAAGAATGAGGATGGGAGTAGGGTCCATTCTCCGCGCCTAATTCGCTCCTCCTCTTCTCCCCCCAGACTGGGAAAAACTTCGGACAGGAGGTCTGGTCTTCTTCGGCTTGCTGGTGATCTGTGCAATGTTCGTCCTTTTCTGTAAGTGAGATTTTTAGTAGCTAAAAAGATCAGTTTGAATCAAGTAGCTACTGAGTTCAAGCCTGTTGCAGTTCTGTGAAGAGTAAGGTTTAGGGCCGTTTAGCCTGGGGTCTCTCGTGTCCCCACCACTTCCTGGGCTCACACTCATGTCAGCACTGTCCCTGCTGTGCATCCTGTGATAATTCACCCCAGGATCTCATCCAGCTTGTTCCACACTCCCACAACCCTTTGTCTAAAGGACTGCAGTCTGTTCTTAGTTTATAATGTGCTTTCATGTAGTGTCGATTTGTATCCTTGGGTTCATGTTTCACTGCTCATTCTAAAGAAACTAGCTGGATTGAAAAGCACTCCAGAAATTATGCTTCGTAGAATAAAAAAAAACAAACGTAACTACACCCTGCCAAAATACAGAAGAGAGAGAAGATCATGACCAAGACTTTCCTTCTTTCAACAGGGGACTCATGCAAAAGGTTTAAAAGGTATGTATACATGAAGTGATTTCTTCATTTCACAGGGAGGTGGCTCTGTTTTGAGACAGATAACTTTGCTATTAGTACCAAGTAAGCCTTCTCTCTTTGTAATGTGTGTCTGAGGAGTTATTTAGATGCAATGTTTCAGAATCAGAACCATTCGTTATCCATGTGCTAGATCAAATATGTTACTTCTGTCTGCCCAGTATTTAGAGTATCTCCAGTATCTCATCTAAATGATGCATCATCAAGACATACATAGAGAAGAAATATTTATTTTATAGTTAGTGAGGAGGACACGGGTGTTTGTTGGCAATATTTATGTGTGAGAGAAGAACATACAGTACCTTATTGTTATTTACTAAGCAGTCAGGTATGTCGACTCAGTCACAGCAGGAATTTATTCTGCTTCTCTCTTTTTCTCCGCCCCCCATCTCAGCTCAATGGATCACAGAAGAGGAAACTGAACTCTGGGCAGAGCTTGAGAGCAGCTGGACACGCCTGTCTGAAGCCATTCGCTGTCTCTATGGTGACAACAAGGGAGGGTGGGCTTTAAGGTGTAGGGGTGCGGTGAGTGTGGAGGGGGTGGGATTAGATGTGTCACAGCTCATTGGAGGATGTTTATTTTTTTCCTTTGGGGGAGGGTCTCTGTTGGTCCCACTCCGCCCCTCTCCTAATCACACTGTACATTGAAAAAGAGTCATCCCAGTCTTAACACAGGGGGAATGCTGAACATTATTTATGTTCATACCAAACACTAATTGTCAAATAAAGATGGAGAAGATGCTGTGCCCACATTATGAGTTTTTTTTATTCTTTGATCCAATTGTTATACACAGCATATTAATGACGGAGATAATAAGGAAATAGACAAATGTTTATCTCATCTACCTCCTCTGGCTATCAACTGCAGATTAAAAAAACTTTGCAAAGTTGTTAAAAATGAATTAGGTTCATCTTAATTTCTGTAAGCCTTCAGACATGTAGCCTAGTGACTGGGCTGAATCCCAGCACGCACAGCTGGCTGAGGCCGATGAATTACACTATCTAGATCAGGGGTCTCGGACTCCTGTTGTTTTGTTCCAGTACAAGCTTTACACATCTAATGGTAGCTGGTGATTTAGACACGTAGAAACCCTGCCAGATTTCTTCACTATCTGAACCATGATATTAGAATCAAAGCCGCAATTCTCCCTGGACAGGAGTCTCCAATCCTGGAGGGCCAGTCACTCTGTCTACAGGTTTTCTAGATCCTTTAAAGCAGCAGCACCTAAAGAGCAGGGAGCCAATTAAGCCAATAACCAGCTCATTCAGGTCAGAGTTGGAGTGAAAACCTGAGGATGCATCAACCCAAGTGGATCTGGATTGAGTGACCATGCTGAAACTAAACACAGATTAATAGCCATAGTCAAGCAGATAATTAAATCAATTTATTCATTTGAGAATCTAAGCAAATCCAGAAGAGATTGCAGATCACCAAGAACCTGATTTTCCCTTCTTGACAATAAATGCAATTCCTGATCTCTGCTCTGCTCCTATCCCATTAATCGGGACAAGCCAGGCATTGGGGTGAATTCTGTTGGCAGTGCTTGAGATCTGAGCTTGTGGGGGAAACTGTACTAAAGGTGTACAGCCAGCCAGGATCGGAATCCAAGACGAGGAAGCGAAAATTCATGTCACAACAGTTTTCAAGTGCAAAACGTTTCTTAAAGCTTCTCGCTTTTTTTTTTGCTGGCAGTGCTCTGTCGAATGCTTTTGATTTCGGCAGCCTGGCCGAGCTTGAATAACTCTCGCTTCCCTTTCTCTGTGGAGTCCGGCTCCCTCGGGCAGCAGACACCATTTTTAGCTGCGAAGTTTAAAGGCGGCGGATTTCCCGTGTCGGCGGGCCTAGCAAACCACAGATTTTTCGACCGCCAATTGATTACACTCAGCATGTATAGCCAGGGCCAGCCCCCTCAGAAACTGAGCTAACCTGTTGGACGTCTACTCGAGGAAGAAAGGGGTGTCGACATTTGCCTAAATCAATACGGTGCCTCCTTTTTGCTTCTGTGCCGAATCGTCCTGGTTTTACTCGTACTAAAACATTAATCTCCGCTTGGATTGGAGGTGAGTGCTTCAGACTTTGAAATCTTACTTTATTATTCCAGCTCCTGCTTCGTGCCCAGTAGTTTGATTTTTGTTTGGTCTGTTTCTGAACTGTCTCGGGCGCTGATGCGGTCCAGTACTGTTCGGCTCGGTTCCCTTTAGAAATCGTTCTAATACGCAGTCACTGTGATTTTGAATAACGCCCTTTCCTACAGGAAAGTATTAGATACAGTGTGTTTGAGCGGCCCTGCTTAATGTTTCGCAGCTGTTTCGTACGTTAATTTTAAGAAAATGTATAATTCCGACAAACCGCGGGGTTGTTGTGAGACGTAGCTCCCACATGTATTTCGACGTGTCTCCGAGGAAAGGGTATTCCTTTGTTTTGTAATGGAAGCAACATGTGGCATCCCGATTTATTTCCCTTCTCGTTTCATCCCTACAGTTATCTGGGGAATGTCATTTGAAGAGCGTCAGCGTCTGTATAATTGATTTGGGGATTGTGTTTAGACATGGATGGTGGAAAACGATAAGGCTTTATAACGTGTAGCCTTGGCGTCAAATGACTTCAACGGATCCCGTTTAGTTTAAATTTGAAAAATAAAAAATAAAAACAACAAATACAACGACGTGACGTAAAAGTTGTTTAGTTTCGAAATCTGGACATTTCAGTTGGAATCTTCATAGTTCACTTGATGATATGAGGATATTTACTGTGACGCAGCCATTGCGCCGGTCGCAAGCCCTTGAGTGCGAAGTGGAGATGAGCGGCCGCGGGTTCGGGTGAGTTTTGCAAGAGGGCGGTTTGGACTGACTAGCTCGTGAGGGAGACACGTGCCTGCTCGTTCAGGTCGTCTAAAAAAATCTGAAACGCACAAAGATCAATGGCGAGATCATGAGTAACGAGCACTGCTGTGTAAAATTCAAGAACGAGGCATAATTTTTCCACACCGTTTTATCTTCCTCGTCACGCAGAGACATAATTCTGTATCGCAGCTGGCGGTAACACTCGATTAGGAACTCGTAGTGCAACAAGTACCTTTTTAGCATTTTGAGCGTCAGGAGCTGACCGAGCAGCGAGCATTAAGGTGGTGTTAGATTCATGCTGGGGGAAAGATGCGGCGTGATTACATTTTTGGCGCTGGTGCGAATGTGT